TCCATGATGACAGGAGGGGAGAAAGGGAGCTAACGTATGGAGGGTTTGCAGAGTCTTCAGCTGATGAACACTCATCACAGTGTAGTTTGTGTACTTTGGTGTTTTCGTACTGTGCTCATTGTGGTTACTGTGTATGTAGTTTTAAGGAAAAGTATCAGATTTCTTAATAAACTGTCACCTTACCATGGTGGACCTGGGTCAGAAGTTTCTGTCTGCAAGTTGAGAGGTTTGAGTTGGAATGCCAGCCCCGCCAGCCCCATCTTCCATAGCTGGGTGACCTTGAACAGCTGATTATCCATGCATCTCAGAATTTTCTGTCTGCATGTGTGCTCCTGGCAACTGTGCTGAGTTTGATAGCAAGCACATTGCAGGGCCAGGACCCTCATTGGCTTTCTCCATGCATTTACTCAATTCACGTTAACAAAGAATTGACCTCACCATTACATGTGGGCCAAGCAGAGTGGGAAATCACCCATAGAGTCCTGTGGTGGCTGTCCTGGGAGCACAGAAATGCCCTCTCCTTGGAAACCACTAGCCGACCTGCATGTAGCTCCCCACCTGCTACCCAGTGGCTTTGAATGTGGGAGAACTAAGGTTCTGCCTCATGACCTAGAGGCTCTGGAGTCTGCGTCTGAGCCTCATGTCACCTGATCTTGACCTCAAAATATCTATCCCAGGGCCTTGTTCCTGCTGACAGACATTTGTGTTAGACCTGCCAGTTGATTTTAAGTCTATGAGATTTTACCCTAATTCAGTGCTTCCATTGCATACAGCTGTGCTGTTTAATAAATTGGCATCCATATAACATGCACACATTGGTGCTGTTCTTAATTACATGCACCCCCGTACACTGAGCTGCTGCCTTCAGAGCTTTTTGAGAAAGTAAAAGCAATACCGTCAGGTTAACCAGCAGTTGTTGTCACTCATTGCCTGTGTTATTAGCACAGCCTTCCCCATCACCTTGTTGTCCAATCACCTCATCACCAGGGAGGTCAGCTGAGTACCTCAGCTTCTGACCACAGTGCACTTGTATTTTTTGATACAGAGTCTCCATGTACCCCAGACTGGCCTTGAGCTTGCAACAATCCTCCTGTCTCAGCATTCTGAGTACAGAAATTATAGGCATGTGCCCCCTCTTCTGGCAAAAGTTGTCTTTAAAAGCTTTATTTCTGAAGCTGGATTTGACATTGCATCCTGTAATCCTAACAGGCTGAGTCAAGAGGACCTGGAGTTTGAGCCCAACTAGGGCTACATCGAGGCCAGCCTGGACTACATAATCAAAACAAAACAAAATGTTTTATTTTTGTAGTTCATAACATTAAAATTATATTGTGCTGGTGAATATAGTTTTCCAAATTATGTATAGACACAACCTACTGTGCCTATAGCTCCTTGTTCCCAGGGAGTAGCCCTTCCCAGCCGTCTGGCCCCACGTCAGAGGGCTGGGAAGGTGTCTTCTGCCTGTAGCACCACACAATGGGGACAGGGTCACACAGTGGGGATGGGGTTCAGCCCCCAGGCACTCTTGTTCTGGGTTAAACCCACCCTTGTGATGTCACTCGTCACCTGAGGGACTATTTCATTTTCTGTGTTGTATACTGGAAGAAGCAGCCTCTGTCTGTATTTTCTGTTCAGATTAGAATACGATTTATGATGGTTTCCAAAGTCAACCAAGGGGAAGATGGTTTCTGAAGCCCCCTTGTTGTCTACTGCTAGTGGACCTGAACCTTTGCATTGCATGAGCTTGTAGTATGGAGGTTCTCTGAGCTGCTCTCACTCTCACACTGTCTCTACCTGTTTTTCTAGAAGGTGCCCATTTATCCTTACTCATTTTTCAGCCATTCCAAACTGTTAATGATGACACCTGGCACTCACCAGCAGTGACTTCGAGAATTGTAGTAGTGCCAGTATGCACAGAAAGGGATCATTCAGCCCCATTATGTAAAGAAAGTTATTGGAGGTGATCCAGGAAGAGGTCCCAAGACTTAATCATAAAACTCTGTGATGACATGGGTGGTCACAAGCTGGGCGTGGTGGCACGCACCTGTAATTCTAGCACTCTGAAGATTGAGGCAGGAAGATTGCTGTGCATTCAAGGCCATCCTGGACTGTCATAGGGAGACCTTTTGTCAAAAACAAACAGTGCCAGGGATATAGCTCAGTAGCACAGTGCCTGCCTGGCAAACACAAGGTCCTGAATTTAATTCCTAGTACCAAGAAACAAACAAACAAAAAAAGATATATGGTGACAAACATAAGCTACACAGGACTCGAGTGGGATAGCATTGGGAACTGACAATGTCCACACAGACAGGGAGACCTGATTGGTGCACAGATGAGACTGGATCAGTGAGGAAAAGAAGAGGTTGGGAGGCATAGTGGAGAAAAGTTAGAACCTTACTCATCAAATGGAAAAATGGATCGTAAACCTAAATATGGCAGGTTGAGGATGTCCATGAGGGGCAAGACTTGTAATATTTACAAGAAAACATATTTGTAGGCTAGAATAGAACGTCCCTAAAAAAATAATAATTAAATAGAATATTGATAAATTCAATTTTCTTCGACAGGTTCTTTGAGAAAAAGTAGACAGGTGGGCCATAGAATTTGTAACATAAAACTGGCAGCTTTGTGTCCAGAATACTTAGCATTTCTGCTCCAAACAGGCTGATATTGCTCCCTGTGACCTGATGTCTAAGTCACTAGCCCTTAGGATTGTGGTGGGCCGGAGGCACCATTTGATGGGAAGGGCTCTGCAGGTTTAAAGGGAATCATTACAGTGAGCTTGCTGAGCGCCTAAAGCCCCACCACGAACTCAAGCATTCATCCGTAAATATTCACCTTAAAATTTGAAGGATCAAGCTACTCCTTGAAGAGAACCTAATAGAAAGAAAAGTATGCCTTTCTAGGTACAGTTATTTCTATATTATTCAATATTGCCATGATACTATTTCTGTAATATTAAACTTTACATATTACATCAGACTTCAGTAGCACAAGCACCAGTACCATCTAAAAGATCCTGCTAGCCAGGGTGCATGTTTAGATTTTAACTCTTGGGGTGTAATACCCATTGATATCCACTTGGTTTCCTAGAGAGTTACATTTTTGTTTTTGTTTCAAGGAAGATGAGAATACAACTTTTTATACACACACAATAATTGTGTTGGCTTTTCTCGTACATTTGAACTGGTACTTTTTCCTTTCCTTTCTATTAGCAGAAACCAAACTATAGCAAGAGGAAGAGGCAAAAGTGTTTTTCTGTGTTTTGTTTTTGTTTTAAAACAAAAAGGGTTTTTTTTTTTTATTTTGGTACCAGGGATCAAACTCACAACCACACGCTGGCAAGGCAGGCACTTACGCCGCTGAGCTAAATCCCCAGCCCCAAATTAAAGGTTTTGACTGTGTATTGAAAAAATAAATAGGCTGCGGGGTTTCTCAGTGGTAGAATGTATGTTTAGTGTATGGAAGGCTCTGGGTTCAAAACACCAAAATGCCCAGCACCAAAACAGAAACAAAAGGAAAACCAGAGTGAAGAGAATCAGCAGAACACCAAATCCGCAGGTCAGGCCTGACGGAGTTGGGTGAGAGTGAGTCGTGCTGAGCGTGGTGGGGAGCGTTGGCCTGGCCCTGTGTAGAGCCAGGCTCCATTACTGTGCATCAGTCGGTCCTGCACCCGTTTCCTCTCTACTCATTTTGGTGATACAATAATCTGAGGAGGTTACAGCCACAGTGGCACCCCAGTGCTACAGGAAGCACGAGAGCACTCCTGAGAGATCAGGTGTTGCCTTCAGCAGGAACTGTAGGGCGTGCTTTAGTATAGAACTTTGGTATGGGGATGTCACTGGCCTCTGACAGCTGTGTGTGGGTACACTGTGTGCTGTGTGCACGGTGTTGCTTACTAGATCCTCAAATCCTGGAAATGCAGTGTACCTGAGTCACCCCACCTTGGTCCCCCGTGGATGCCCTAGTCCTGCAGCTGGCAACAGCTTACCAGACAGATTCAGGGCTACTCCAGACCTGCCTTGGGGCAAGTTCCTGGCAGTGCCTCAACTTGGGTGGTTCTGACCCCCAGCCAGCACAAGCTTTGGTTTTTACAAGATCTTCCTCAGACTTTACAAATGATGGCATCCAGTGTGGTTTTTTTTTTTTTTTTTTTCTATAAAAAGCTGAATTCTCTGGTTTTTGAATTGTTGAGCATTTAAAATATAAATTAATAGATTTCTTTTGGGGAGGGGGTTTGGTTTTGTTTTGTTTGTTTGTTTTTTTCTGGGGAACCAAACCAGGGCCTTCACACTGAGCTACATCCTTAGCCCTTTTTAAATTTTTGTTTTTGGTTTTGAGATGGGGGCGATGAGGTTGAAACTTGTGAGGGATTATTTGGAGGTTCTTGCAGGGGAGTACAGCTATGTATATATTCTTCACCAAAGAAACCCTCTCTTATCAGGAGTGGTCGTCCTCTTCAACCAAGTGTACAGCTTCAGGAGGGTCGTACATGGAGTAGTGAGGGAGGTAGGGAACACCTGCCTAGCCAGCCAGATCAGCTATCAACCCTGGCGATCAGTGGGGTGATAGATGTTATAGCCAGGTCAGCCTCATATCCTGGGCTCCAAATTGTGATCCTCCTACCTCAGCCTTCCAGAATGCTTCATTGACAGGCATGTGCCACCGTACTTGGCTGGGGTATGATGCACTTTGTTAGCACATTTGCCATGAAGTGTCTTTCTGCATGGTGACTCTTTACCTTTGCCATGGAGGTGAGGTGTGAGTGTGACAGGGCTGTTTCTCACATTGCCACAGGTAACAGGAGTATGTTGATGATAGCAATCTAGTGCCTGCTGCATAGTCAACCTCACACCTGCTTGGGTGGCTGCCTCCTACAGTGTACAGTGGCAGAGAGCTTTCCATAGAGCTATGTGTCATCCCCTCTCTCTGAGACCAGATAGCAAAAGTGCCGAGTTGCGGGAAAGTTTTGCTTCCAAATTGCAATGTTTCTACAGATTCATTCTGGCGCTGGTCATGGAAGAAGCCACCACAGCTTATCCAGATAGCTTGGCCTGCATAGACGCTGTCATCAATGACAGGCATAGTCCATGGGACGGGTTTTGGTGAGTGATATTTTCTGCCTGACCTCCTCCCACTGATGGATGTTGCTACCTCCTTCCAACCAGGTCTTCTGACAGTCTTGCATCTCTGTGGCTGCCCATGTGGAAGGGCTGATTCAGTACAGAGTGGGTGAATGACCAGCTGGCACCATGCTAGTGGAAGGAGAGAACAGAATGCACTAGCTCTGTTGTTTTAGCACTCCCAGAGGCCAGAGGCCTCAACAGGGTCCAGAGCCAGAGTAGGAGACTGTTATAGGACAGCATCACAAATAGGAGGTATATTCATTGATGAGACTATCTCTTGGAATAGCAGAGTGGCTACATATGATAGGGAGACTTGGAATGTCACCCCATGGCACAGGCAAGAAGAAGGTGGTTCTTACTGTAGGTCCAGTTTTAACTGTTGGCTCCATCTGGGTTTCTTACATCCTTAGGACATTGCAAGTGCTATGCAGTCAGCTGTCCTTGGCCATCTGCCACTTTTCTGGTGCTCTTTACACCTCGGGGTAAAGAACAGGTATGGTTATGGGGAAGTAGGATTCCAAGCCAGTTGGGTGACCCTGGAGCCAGCCTTGTGAAAAGTATTTGCCTTTGGGTCCAGGTGGTAGCCACCCAAGGCAGAAACTTGTGAAAGAGGTGGGAGACTTAACCAGCTGTGTGGACAGTGAAGATGTGGTGGCGGGGGGCTCATGGGCTGGTTCTTCAGTTCTGTGCAATGTGCCCTGTCACCACCACAAATGCATGTGCAAGTTGCTTGAGTCAGATCTGAGGTGAGGCTCTCACCCTCACAGTAGCGTATGAAGGCTGGCACTGTGACTGTTCCCATTTCCTAGGTGACATGACCAAGGCCAGGGCACAGTGTGGCAGAACCAAGGTTTTGCCCCAGGTCTTCGCCTTTCCAAAGTGCTTTCAGTTAACCTTGGGCCACACTGCTGCTGGGTACACTGAAGCAGGACTTAGATTGGCATTTCTAAATCATGTTTGTAAGGCAAACACCAATTTATAAGGAACAGACATTCAGAGAAAGGACTGTTAAACAAAATCTGGGTATACACTTGCCAGATGAAGCCACTAACAATAGTGATCCAGTTTTTCAGGTTTTATATCCAATCAGCACTAAAACAATAGTAAATGTTAGTCATATTAACCGAAGATAAGAGGTGATAGATTTCACAATTTTTAATATTACATTTTTAAAACAGCTATCAAAACAGTAAAAGTATTGAGGTTAAAATGCTTTTTAAAACGCTTGTATTTATCTGTTGCTAAATACATTATGAATTTTCTTCAGGCAGTGGAATTTCTATATAACTTAGTGCAAGTGTGGTTTCCCATGGCACACAAAAGCGTGTATGTGGGGAGCTCAGATTAATGAAAGCTTTCTTAACTATGTCCAAAAGCAGTCTCCCTATTTAAAATATCCCCTAGATTTCCTTGCAGTTATTTTCAGGGATAAATATATGTGTTCTTTGAAACTTTGAGCTTAATACCGTAAACTATAAACCTCCTGGGATAGCTGAATGTATTGAATTAGCTAAGTGAATATTATGATTTTTGCCTAGATGAGCCCCAAAAGCCTCATGAGTGCATAGGTGAGGATTTTTCAGAGATAGCAGGATGTAGCGTGTGATACTGGTTACAGATTATGTGATAACTAAATTAGTTTATGGATTGGTTTGGCATATTACTGGGTAGGATTAAGGGTGCCTCACCCTGGATACAATATAAAGGGACAGAAAGAATCTGCTGATTGTTGCTTGTCACTACTTGCTACCTCCTGCCTACCCTTCCATCGACTGTTTCTCCTCTGTGCCATGCCACCCTGCATTGGAGCCAGCCACTTATGGACTGAAACCTCTGCAAACTGAGCTAAATAAACCTTTCTTCTTTTAACTTTGAGTATTAGGTATTTTGTCTTAGCAACGAGAAGAGTAACTAAGACAGTGAATAATAGCCTACCTTCTACCCTCTCAATGCTTGGCAGTAGTGGTGTGTTTCAAGCATCCAAATTAGACAGTTATTAGCAGTCAGTTGGAATTGTTTATTCAGTCAGCAAACCACAGAGAAACATGTGTCTCTGCTTGTCTGGACCAAGGCAAGTGCACTGGGGTCACGGGAGGCTTCTGCTCTCTAAGAGCTTCCTACCAAAAGGGTGAAGTGCAAGATGAACACATGAGAGGAGGGAGTGGGGACATCAGCAGGCTGGAGCCAGATCCAGACCCTGGCATCCCTCAGTGATCAGTGAGTGCACAGGTGCAGGAGTACTCACACCCCTGGGTCTGAGAATATGGGCTGGTGGTCGGTGGACCAATCACCTGGCAGATGGGAGGCTCTGAGTTCTGTCCTCAGTACGACAACGGTGGTGGAGCATGGTGGTGGTGGTGACAGTGATAATAGTGATGATGATGACACCAATCTGTCTCAAGGTTGGTTCAGAAAGTCAGTGACATCATGTGTAAAGAAGTTTAGTAAGTGTCATGCTTTTTAAAAAAGCATGCACTTTGGGAGGTTGTTGTTTGTTTTTAATTATGCATTTCATTTTGTTTCGTTTCGTTGTGCTTCCCAGCTATCCTTGAACTCCTGTGCTCAAGCAGTCTGTTTCAGTGTCCCAGCGAGCTGGAGTTGCAGGTGTGCAGCAGCCCTGCAGTGTCTTGCCTTTGCTCCCTGAGTGGCAAACAGCAGCACTGACGGTCATGTACATAACTGTCTCTAGACTCTGAATTTAAATTTGTCCCCTAATTCTTCTTATTCCTGAAGGTCAGTTGTAATTTCTTCTCTTTTATTTTAAATACAACTCCTCCCCAGTCAGTCTAGCTAAATTCCTTGTAAATTCATTAATCTTTTCAAAAAATCAAAGCTTTTGATTTATAGCCTTTTTTCTTTCTTTTTTTTGTGTTTGTTTGTTTGTTTGTTGTTTGTTTGAGACAGGTTCTCACTGTGTAGTACAGGCTGACCTCAAACTCACAGTGATCCTCCTGCCTCAGCCTGAGTGCTGTGATTATAGACATGCACCACACCCAGTGGCTTATAGCTTTTTTCCTGTTGTTTTTCTCTTGTCTGTTTTACTAATTTTCACTGTAAATCATAATGAGATACTATCTGCTATCCATTAGGTAGGTTAGAATTTATAGACAGGAGATGATCAGTGTTAGGAGGATGTGGAGAAATTGCAACCCTCAGCGTCACTGGAGAGAATCTGACCTGGCTGTTACCACCTGGGAGCGGACTAGGAAAGGTGATTAAATGGGTTTATGGGTAGTTTTTTTTACAAAAAGGAATAAGGATGGTAATTAGACCATGTGAGCCTGGATCCTATCAAACAGTGGCATTAACTTTGCTTTTTGCATATGAAAGTGATGAATTTTTCTAAAGGAGCTTTAGTATCTTTTGAGCATGTATGATTTGCTTCTGTAACTGAGAACTTAAAGCAGCTTTGTGCATGCATATAAGCATGTACACGATGTTTGCTAAATGAAGGCATGGCCTTTCTCATTGTGTAAGATGTTTTGAGCTGGGAGAAAATGAGGTGCTTTCTGGGTATTGTGGTCCATATGCAACCCCTGTGCTGTAGGTATATATATATATATATATATATATATATATATATATATATGTACTGGAAGCAATGTGGATCTGTGTCTGGCTTTCCTCTGGACCCTGCGCTATGTGAAGAGCTCTCAGCTATCAGACGCTCTGAACAGAAAGCTTTGCCATGGCTGAAAAAACCAGCATATTACCACCTATTTCCTCTTACCATCAGGGCTTATGTTCATTACAGGAAATTTATACTGTGGCTTCTATGTAAGGAGCTGTTCAAAAGCATGACACTGGGCATTGTGGCCATACCTATAACTCTCCCACTCAAAAGGCTGAGGTAGGAGGATCACAGGCCAGCCTGGGCTACATAATGAATTCAGGGCCAAGGCTACATGGCAAGACTCTGTGTCAAAAAAACAAAATAAGTAAGCAGACAAAACTGCAGCTACTAAAGATGGCCCTCCAGGAAAAGAAAACAGACCTGCATGTTGTCCCATGTCCTGGGGACCCCAGGCCATTCTGATGGAATGTGACCTTGTAGACTGGACACAGAAGTGTTCATCTTCCTATTCACATCTCTCCAGACAGAGTGGAGAGTGGCTGTCACCATGGTGGTTGGGAAGCAGAAAACAGCAGGTCACACAGCAGCCCTGCCTTATCATGGCTGCAGTATGCTCTGAACTCGGCTCTTCTGATGTTGGTTCCTTGCTTCCCAGTGTACACATGCTCTGTTGTTTCTCCATTTATCAGGTTTTGACAGTGTCTTTTTTTTTCCTACCAAATGTCCATTTGCCCAGTGGACTCAACCATGGGTTCCTTCTCCCATGGGACAGGCAGCTGTTGTGTGGTGTATGTCGCTGCACTGCGCTGCTGAATCCCATTTTAGCCTGCTGCTGCATGGTCTGCGGTTCTCTCTTCTGCTGCTGTCTTTGGCTTTAGCCATCCAGCCTCACAAAGTGAGTTTTAGAAGTTACTTAAAAGGGCATTTCAGTTACTTAGAAGGGCATGAGAAGGACAGGCAGTAATTGTTCCTTTAGGTTTCGATGGTACTCTTCAGGGGACACACTCATGTCCAGACACCATCTGTTATGACAGGCAGGGGGTGTTGGCAGGTATGGTCCACGATAGTGAGAGCCCTTTTCATATCTGTGAACCCTGGAAGACTGCCCCAGTTTTATTTCTGGTTAGCCCTTGCCTTCTGACTTCTCCCCATGAGGAGGATGCTCTGGTGTCTTGGTTCCCTGAACTTTTCTGCATCTCCTACCTCTGTTCACCCATAAGATAGTAGCTCTTCTCTACATAAACCACTGTCCCCTTTCATACAACCATGACATTGTGACATATACTGGTGAAACTCCCTGGATGCCTTTTTCCATACAAGCGCATCAAAGGAATTTCCAAGTTCTTTTGTTTCCTTTCTTTTTTAGGGCCCACTGATCTGCTCTAGTCCCTGGGGGTGCTCTTGT